CCTTGCATAACCCTACGGCTCTGAATGCCTTGCCACTTTCTCCCTTTACGATAAAAAAGAAAAAAACTTTACAAGCAGCATTAATGCGCCCCTGCCACTGTGAGCGAATGACCGACATACACCGATATTGATGATATAGAAAAAGAAGGCGCCTTTCTTTTTTTCTAAGCATTCCTTTCAAGAATAATAACATTATAGACATTTGGTGTAAAAAAAAAGATACTTACCACTGATGTAGCTGTTTCTGAACACAATGCAGTCCTGGCAACCCAAATACGCAATATACAAAAGAACGGAATCACCTTCTGAAATCACGAGGGAAAGATGGCTTTGAGACGCCAGACCATGTTTCTTAATATGAGGTCATACTAGATATCGCAGATATATACGTGTCAAACTATTCTCTATTAAGGCGAATTATTGAACGCCTAAATTGCCTCTTGCTGTTTGAAAAGTGAAAGCGTGAGGTTTCCACATCAAGGCGACCATAATATTAGGTGCGGGCGCAATGTATGATAATTTGACTCGATGAACCCTCGCTTATAGTTGACGCAAGCTGTATTTAAAGGCACTAGCGTATACTTACGATCGATGGTATGAAAGTATTGAAGATTGTTCGCATCATACCCTTCATATGAGGTTAGGTTTGTCACCACCGTGCTGTGGAGAGACGCGAGAGAAATAAAACACTTTCAATATTAATTTGGCATACATTCTCAATAAACGATGCTGAACATGGTGAATCACATATGTTAAAGAACTAAATATCGCTGCCTATAGTCGCTGGCAGTCTAAGGAACATTGGGAGTGGCTTATTAAGTTCTTGTTTCTAGCTTCCTAATTTGTTCTTCGGCGCTTTCATCGGCTATTATCAAAATCTGACTGGGTGCGCAGGAATAGTAGGGCATTTTAGTAGATCGTTTGGATACTTCCGACAACGCGTTTGTGCATGCATCGCACGGTTATACGATAACGTTAACCGAGGTGTACAATTTTTGCCACAAGTCCCATGGGCTGCTGAACAATATTATAGTGCACAGTTCTCGCAACGCCCTGCGTTTTAGAGCGCATGCAGCTCTTAGGCGCCCGTTTCCGGCTTCAGCGGCGTCGCCGTCGGCGTCGGCGTCGGGGTCGCCGTCGGCGTAACCGCGCGGTGCACTATGGGTATATTTCCCCGCTAAATCTAGCGAAAAAATTTCTCCGCTAGATCTAACAGGAAAACTTCCCCGCTAGATCTAGCGGAAAAATTTCCCCACTGAATCTAGCGGAAAAGTTTCCCCGCTAGATCTAGCGGAAAAATTCGCCCGCTAAATCTAGCGGGAAAATTTCCCCACCAGATTTAGCGGAAAAATTTCCCCGCCAAATTTAGCAGAAAAATTTCGCCGCTAGATTTAGCGGTAAAATTTCCCCGCTAAAGCTAGCGGAAAATTTTCCCGCTAAATTTAGCGGAAAATTTCCCCGCTAAATCTAGCGGAAAAAATTTTTGGAGGGTCACGTGATTTGGGGGAGGGGGTCACGTGACCTTGGGAGGTCACGCGACCTCGGGGATCACGTGACTCCTCCCCCTGGTCACGTGACCGCCCCCCCCTCCCCCCCCCCCCGAGAACACGTGACCCTCAGTACCCTTCCCTCCTCCTCCTCAAGAGCTGCGCACTAATTCGGCATCACAGGGAGTTGTAAACGGCTTTCATTTTTTTAAGCTGTTAGTGACAATAGATTTTCTTCTTACTCCGAGGGTTATTGTTTAATAGTCATTGCGCGGGGCCTCTCTACCTCCGCCAGGTAACTTGTTTCTGTTTTAACACCCATGGAACATTTTCAAGAAGGTTTCTTTGTATCTGCTCCTCGGTTAAAAAAAATACACGCATAGAATTGATTGAGTTATACACTCTGGAAAATGCATGCGCGTCTACTTACCCGCGAAGCACTCAAAGATCCAATTTCTGCATTCTACGAAATCAGCTCAGCGAATGATGAGGCGGATCATCTGTTTAGACATAGAAATGAAGTCGGCACTTTGGTATTACGCAATGCGCAGCGTCATGCTTGCATTGCGTAATGTCACAGCGCACACTTTATTTTGAGGTCCAAGCAAATGTTCCGCGTCATCATTCGCGCAGCTGATTTCGTAGATCGCAGAAATTGGATCTTTGAGTAAGTAGAGGGGCAGGCAGTTTTTGATGTGTAGGCTCAAACCACAAGTAAAATATCCAACGGATTTTTAACTTGAATGGACATAATTCAGCTTATTACCGAAACACCATGGTTAAAGCAAAACACTAAAGAAGTTTGCCTTAGCCACGGCGGACGCCTTTCCGCGGCTTTCTAGTCTTAATTACTCTCATTCGATTGTACTGTTGATTCATCCGCACTTTTCGACTAATTCTTTCATAAAACTATTCTGTGCACTCTATAAAGGTTTCCAAGAAACGACAATGATGAGCGTAATCTCATTGCTCAGCTCCCGCTAAGTAAAGGAAATGCACACTCTGCTACGGTAGTGGTTGCAGCCGCATAATAAGGTTTTTATCCATACATTTCAAGGCGGTGTACCGAAATGTCAATACCTTACTTCAACTGCTTTGTTTTATTAGTTCAAGCCACCCATGGTTGGTGCTTATAATTTATTTGTTGAAAACGCTATTCTAAACGTTATTCGTTAGACTTACATTGAGGTGTCTGTAAACTGGAGTAACATGGCATATACCCCATTCTCTTCGGGACCCAGACTGGAAAACTTGCCACATTTAGCCGTCCCTCCAAACGCTGGGTCATTTTCGTAGTTTCTGTACGCTGCATACCACGTCTCTTGGATCGGCATACACTGAAGTGATATATTTACAAAATAAATCACGGGCACATATTGCCTTCAGCATTCTTGAATCACACGCAAGCCACCTGCATAACTCCACGCACAATCCTCACATGATATGTACAGTCTCCAAGAATATTAAGTACCCATTCGGCTAGACAGCTTAGCGGTGACATTAAAACCATGTTGGCGTAAGCACTTTGTTTTTAGGAAAAAAATAGAACAAAAATTCGTTTTTTACCTTTCCCAAAGAAAAGCTGGTTTGGCGAAAGCAAAATCTGCGAAGCCGCTTGAAACTGCATCGTTGAATGTGTCATTCATATTGCTTACGACTGTACTCTCTGGCCGCATTTAAGACAAACAAAGAGTGGTTAAGTTAGCAGAAGCAGATAATAAATTATATCGTTTGTATTTTCTTTCGGAGGGCTTTAGATACACAAGGGGTGGTAAAATGCTCATATCACGTGCGGCAAAATTAATTACGTTCCCCAGCAAATTGAGCTATAAAAATGCAATTAAAGAACTTATGTCGTGTTTCCGCCAACCATGACGCATTCTCTACAATATCGAAGAGTATTACATGCCTCGCTTTCATTATAGTCCAACGAACTTAAGAGAAAGTTGTTCCCCGTTTTAGACGATTTTGCTGTTTATAAAAGCAATAACAACCAAGCGCGCGATAATAATCCACGAGTTTGTGCTTGCCAGGGCAAAAGAGAGAGAAGCGTGCGCGAAAACGAAGCACCGGCTTTTAGAACTGCATCTGCTAAAAGCAATTTCTAGGAACATTTTTTTTGGCCTAACGACTTTGAAAGGAGAAGCAAAACAGAGGCTGTTCCTCTTGCCGTTCTGCGCGGCAATAAAGCTGGGAAAAGCGGGTGCTGGGTACTACATTGCGGGTTCTCACATGCCCTCGCACGCCATCAGGCCCCAAATTTATCTTCTTTTTTTTTAACTATAAATACGAGCGAAGCCACGGTGTCCGTGTAGAATGCGACAACGAACCGGTATGTTGTCGCTAACCCTGTCGCGTAGTTTACCAAAGGAAACACACCTGCAGTGTTCATGATATTCATATCCGCTTATTTGATTATCCTTAATGCTTAAAATCATACATTCGCCAGTACATTTACAGTGGTATAGATATTGATCCTAGCTGAAGTGTATTCAATGTGCGGGACACAGCGTACTAAATGTCATAGTTACATATTAACTGGTACAAGCAACGAGGTGTTCGAGTACCCTCCCCCCCCTCGGGCAAAGGCTAAACTAAAACAACTCACGGTAAACTTAATCGGTTTCCCTTCATGTGCTTTTTGGTATTCGTCGAATCTCCACTGTAATAGTATACTCGGTCCTCACACCCAATGAACGATTCCTTTTCGCAAATATTGCAATTTTGTTGCAATCTGGACGTATTTTGCGATTGTAACTACTTTCATACTCGGTCTACACGTTTTAGTTAGTTACATTCCACGGTCTTCGTTGTTCTCAGTATGCATTCAACCTCTTAAATATGCAGAAATAATAATAATATAAACTCATAAGTGTCATATGTCAAGACCCGGGATCCCTCGTAAATACTTGAGCGGGTCGTAAAATTATTATATGCGGCATGAACGTTCGATGATTTGCTATTGGAAGTCTCCGGACATGTGCTGTTTCACGACGTAACAGCAACAGAAGTAATCCGTCTTGGCCCGATTAAAATTAACTGCTGGGCTAGTTGGATAAACATCGTGAAAATAATTGGCCCAAAGGATAACGACAACATGGCGATACCAACAGGACGAGCGCTTGCCATCTTCGTATCTTCGTGATGTCTTTATCTTTTGTGGTACATTTTTTCACGATGTTTGCTCAAGTAATTCAGGCATTTATAGTAACTGACAGTAGATTAAACACAGAGCGTGTCTTACTACGCTCACGCTTTTTTCTTCCTGATTCTTTGCTCAATGCTGTGAGCGACTGATGTCGCCATTTTATTGGCTCCCTGCGTTCCTTACGTTTGTCAGTGATTATAGATCGACGATCGGAATACTGATTCAAATGACACGTGGTCTCAGTTACACAAAAAAAAAAAAAGTTGGAGACATTTCTGTCTTTGAAGCAGCATGACCGCTGCGACAAGGTAAAGCTCACCTTTCCCGTTATGTAAACTAATCAGACGAAGACAAATGATCGGTATTTCGAGTGTATTGCAGCACAGTACATACACGCAGGAGGTATTAACACGATAGCTGCATAAGGAGCTGCTCCCACAAAAAGAGGACAACAACAATGTTTTGCTCGAGGATTAAGGCTCTTGGGAGTACTGATTTAGATTAAGTTGTGTCTTTTCCCGGGCAAACGTTCGAACAATATATATATATATATATATATATATATATATATATATATATAGATATATATATATATATATATATATATATATATATATATATATATATATATATATATACATGTACAGGGTGTTTTTTTTTTTTTTAAGCTTAACAGATTTGTTTAAAAAAAGCCGTGAAACTTACACTTATGCCGCTTGTGGAGGTGAGTTATACGGCCAGGGGGACATATTATAGGGGGCTAATCGTAACGATCAGTCGTCTACTTAATTAAAATTTGTTAAATATCTTTTTAATTAATGAAAATAGACATGGTTCTAATTAGAAACTTGCTCAGCGTCATCGAAAACCACTAAGTTAGTCATTTTCAGAAAGACTTTCGGCGCGCGCAGTATTATTCTAAAGTTACCACTCGTGGAGCAGGTAGAAGGCTGGGGCCAGATAAGAGACGGAAAAATCGCGCGGGCGCCTTATCGCAACCGCTAGCTTTGTACCTGCTCCACGAGTGGAAACTTTAGTGCACTACTACGCTTCTCACGTGCTCAAAGCTTTTCTGAAAATTACTTATTTAGTGGTTTTCGATGACGCTGAGCAAGTTTCTAATTGAAACCATATGGCTATTTTCATTATTTAAAAATTTAATTAATGAATTTTAATTAGTTAGTCGCTTGATCGTTACGATTAGCCCCCTATAATATGTCCCCCTGGCCGTATAACTCACCTCCACAAGCGGCATAAGTGTAACTTTCACGGCTTTTTTCAAACAAATCTGTTAAGCTTAAAAAAGCGCCCTGTATATCTATATATATATATATATATATATTGTGACGATGAAGACGACGACGCTGCGGCAGTGGTGTGCACTACTATCGCGCGTTAGGCCCACGCGCTAGGCCCTGCCGCCATTAAATGATTCGGCTTTATCATGTGAACATCCTCGTCTTCTCCCGCCGGCCCCGCATCTCCGTAACAATATATATATATATATATATATATATATATATATATATATATATATATATATATATATATATATATATCAGGGTGTCGAACCGGAACCGAACCGAACCGAAAACCGGAACCGAACCGGTATTTTTTCCGGAACTGAACCCGGACCCTTATATTGTTATCGCGATGAACCCGAACCGGAACTGAACCGGAAAAAAAATAACGGTTACCGGCTCATGTCAAAACGGTTCGGCCACGCGCTGTTGACAATGAATGTGCTATCAATGCCATATGTTTGTTAAGTGCCGTCAACTGACACACACCTCGTTTACATATTTTTCTTCTCCACTCAGTCTTAGGAATATAAACGCTGGATCCATGAATCTTGACATAGGAACCAGTATTGCGCTAACGCGGCTTGCACGGAAGAAAGAGAATTAGAAGGCTGTGCAAAAAAAAAAAAAAAAAAATCGCGTCACGGGATTTCATTTTCCTACAATCTCGTAAATCCTAAATGCTGCTGTGTGCTCATTTCATAACACGTTTCTAGAAGGCGCGAGTTCTTGAAGCTTGCTTCCATCGGAATGAGAAAAGAAAAGGTTGTGGAGTTTGATAATAATGCATCCGGTTTCGTATAGGCACTTAGAAGGTAACATATTTGTGAGACAGCGAACTCTTCTATTTTAATATTTATCCTATTACGTCCTTCTGGCGTTGCGTCCGGTGAAGTGTTTTTCATATTCCGTATCTTGTCTAATGAAAACTTCTTTAAGGGTCTAATTTGAGTTACCGAAGGCTAGTTCAAATAAAGAAAGCTGTATTTTCTCCCCACTGTTCCTTCAATTGCTTACACGCCGAGGTGGCGGGATAGTTAGCGAGTTCTACTTGCAAGTGGGTTTGTAAGGAGGTCGCGGATTTTACAGCTACTGCGTCGGACCCAATTAGATGAAGTCCGAATGCGTAAACGTCGGTGAGGTAACCTTTGAGTGCACATAAAGAAACCATTTCTGGTAGAAATCCCTGAGCCTTGCACTACGATGTATCCCGTTTCGTATGTGCTGATTTCAGATGTTTTATTTGTAATTTATTTTGATGTTGCAATTTGTCATTTATGATTTCCGAACCGGTTCGCGAACCGGTTCAGAGCCCCGAACCGGTTCGCGAACCGGTTCGCGGATCGAAATAATCGAACCGGAACTGAACCGGAACAAAATAAATTTACCTGAACCTGAACCGTAACCGAACCCGTATTTTTTTCGGTTCGACACACTGATATATATATATATATATATATATACATTTTTTTTATATTATATTATCTTTGGAGTATACTTGCCTGAGATGAATTCTGGTACTTTCCTAGTGCTGGATTCAGTTCAGGGTAGGACGGGCCAGCACAGGAGCACCGTGAGGTCAAAAGCGCAGCGACAGCAAAAAGAACGAATAACATTCCTGCCATGTTGGTCTCACTTCTCAAAGTCAATTGCTGCTGACTGTGTTACAAGTGGCCCGGCTAGGTTAGTCTAGTACTGTGACTGAAACCCGGACTGCGTCGGGGGATATAAGCTGTTTCGACGAAGTGCCCTGCACCTGGAAACTAACGAGGATTATCCTGTCGAGTTTAAAAACGTGGCAACATCGCTTTCGAATAGCGGCAGTTATTGGTTCGTGAAACTCGTGACGTCATAATATACTTTTATATACGGAATGAAAATGTGATAA